ATCAAACTAAAGCTTGTTTTAAATTTTTCCTGCAGAAAATGCAAACAAATCTCTATAAATATCTCATTGAGAAAGTAAATGGCCTAATTACACATTCATTCAGCAGTATTATACAAAGAGTTCCCACTACTGAGTCACATACTGACTTAGAATGTGTGTGCACTTTTTCTCTTTTTCCCTCTTGGAAGAGTGGTTTTTCATGACCTGAATGATTCAGTTTTTCACAGAATAACATACTTTATCTAAATCCTACTTTTGTTAAGGAGCCAAAAAAAAAAACCAAACCCACTGCCACCAAGCTGATTCCAACTCATAGCGACCTCCACTGGGTTTCTGAGACAGTAAATGTTTACAGAAGTAGATTGCCCCATCTTCCTTCTGTAGAGCAGCTAGTGGATTTGAACCACCCATCATCCTTCCACAGAGCAGCTGGTGGATTTGAACTGCCAACCTTTCCTTTAGCAGTCAAATGCCTTAGGCACTGTGCCACCAGAGCTCCTTTTGTTAAGGAGCGGTGATATGAAAATTACTAAGAAAAGGCAGCAGGTTCTTTTCTGTAATATTTTGCTTGATAGCAAAAACTGCTTTAGTTCTAACAGGCTTGTTTCTGACCATTATTTTTTCCTCAAGTGAAGAAAGGCCTCAGGATAAGGGTCATTACTATTTTTCACTAAAACAAAAAGATTCAACTGTGGTTGCTGGGTTATCAACAGACAGATTCATTCATTGTCATTAGGGAACAGTTATTATGGATATCTTCTCACAAAGCAACATAATAACTACAGAAAGAACAGTATAAGGCAAAAAAAAAAAAAAAAACCTACATAAGAGGCAAAAGCAACCTCTGCTCTTGAAGGGCTTATTATCTTCTGTTGTTGGTATATAACATTACAAAGTGCATTTTAAATAAGGTATTTGCTGAAGGGATACAAATAAGTAGACAACAGGAAGGAGGGAAGTCAAAGAAAAGTGTAGGCCAAGGGAAGACATCAAATGTTTCACCTAAGTCTGCAGAACCAGATTCACTCATTCCTTATTTAACCAAATGTACTGAGCACATACATACTGTGTGCCAGTTAGGAGTTCTTGGGTGGCACAAATGATTACACACTCAACTGTTAACAGAAAGGGTAGTGGTTCGAATCCACCTAAAATGCCTTAGAGAAAGCCTGGTGATCTACTCCTCAAAAGTTCAGGCACTGAAAACCTTAAGGAGGACAGTTCTACTCTGACACACAGGGAGTGACCATGGGTTGGAATCAACACGACAGTAACTGGCTTGGTGCTGGTACTTGACAGTTACTGCTCCAGGCAGTAGAGGCGTGGTGGTTAATAAGACAACGTTCCAACCCTCAATGAACAAAAGTGCTGTGAATATTTAGTTTGTGATACCTGCACCTGTTGAGTGTTGTGTGTATACAGTGTGAGAAAGTTGGAGAGGGACAGAGAGACAGGTGAGAGGCCTCACATATATTTAGCAATTACTATATGCCAACTGTTGGGCTAGGCAGTGAGGAGAGTTTAATAGAAGACACGTGTTCTCTGTAACTCGTGTTTTCTCTGGTGAGAGATCCAGGTAAACCAGTAGGGAAGCATTCTAGCTCCATTCACTGTCTGTGTAACCTTGACAAATTGGTAATGTCTTGGAGTAAACAGTAGCACTAACCTCCAAGGGTTATTTTGAGCACTAGATGAGATGTTTATAAAACATTTGGCACACTGCCTGGTAAACCACAGATTTCATTATTACAGTTAAGTGTCCACATCATAAAAAAACAAAAATGAGATTGGTGGAAACTGAAGATAAAAGAAAAGAGGAAAGGATAATAAAGGTATTCTCTTTTTAACATCAAAAAGGGAAGAGAGGTGAGCTTCACACAAGGATAGCTGAAAAGATACATTGTGAAGTGTATATATAAACTTATAATGAAGATTATACAATGAAATTACACCATATACCCAATTAAGCGACAAGAATACATTTAACAATGCATGATTGGCAGTGAGAGAGAGAATAAAATAGTGCCAAGTGACTCTGCCACTATTTCATTCAAAAAGAAAATATTTCAAAATGAGATTTAAAAAAACCAAAATCTACAGTCCCATAGGCAGACTCAGACCTTACCTGTGAAGTATGAGTTTTTCGTATCACTGAATATGAGTCTAGTAATCAAGGATAGGTATTTTTAGCACCCGTTCCCTATGTGCAAATAATACTATTTAATTTGGGTAGTTTAACTGGGTAAGCACTAAACTACCAGCCAAAAAGGTTGGTGATTTAAACCCACCCAGGAGGTCTCCAGAAATCAAGCTGGCAATCTGCTCCCAAAAGTCACAGTTCTGCCCTCTGGAGCACATCTACTTGGCACATATGGGGTCTCTATGAGTCGGAATCAACTCCCCAGCAACTAACAGCAACAACTTAATCTGATGCTTAAGCAAATAAAAGAAATTTTGATTAGATATGATTTTCATCACCTTTGGTACTTATCTTAGAACTAACACTTGCTTAAGATGCTACTCCACCTGTGTGATCTCCATTTTGTTGTTGTTGTTGTTAAGTGCCATCGAGTCGTTTCCGACTCATAGC